ATACAATGATAAATATCTGATAAGTTTTCACATTTCAAAACATGTTAAACAGTTTGTGTTCACCTAAATTAATGGGTATTCGACCTTCGTGGCGTTCAAAGGCCGTCTCATCATTTATTCTATAGAAACCAACGATGACCTAGACAAAGCCAGCCATGTCTTGTCAACAAGTTCAATGATCGTGAGGATAGCCTGGGTACCCGCGAAACGTGACACGTGCATCGGAGCTTGACTACTCAAACAGTGACCAGTTAAAATACCCCAAAACCTGTTAGACAGTAGATTTTTAGAAGACGTACTTACAGGCGCGTAGCGTGGACCTTTTGGCTAATACGCACATGACAGGGAACGCGACACATGTTTTGGATTGGGGGGCTAACAACTTCCGAAAACGGGGGTCGAGAAAATTTTGGAATAATAACTCTTGGAAATGTGATTTCCAGCGTTTTGAGGGGCATCGAAAGCATTTAAAAGACATCAGGCTCAGAGGGAGTATTTTCTCCAAGGCTCTGTCAGTAAAGACAGCGTTGAAAATTTATTAGGAAGGCTTGAAGGACTTTGTGATAATACATCACATGAAAGGGATAAATTTTCAGACCATGAAATAATTTACAGTTTGCGTAAGTGTGATTCAAAAACAGACAGCCCAGGACTGAATCTTTTGATCTTGACATTTTAACGTTGGCTACGAGCAAGACACTAGCTTGTAGATCAGTCTGCTCCATGGTAGATATCTTGCTCAGTATTCATTTATTTTGGTTGATGTTTATCATCATCAATTCTTCATCACCATCTACTACTCATCATGATCACAATCTCTGTCATGGTTCTCCAGGGAGAACATAAAGCTACACAAGCTATTTTATTACTTTAAATCAAGTTCTGGGGCAGGACTTAACCAAGCATACACTATCCTTTTGATAATGGCTTCCAAAACTTGTATCACTGCAGACTCGTAACATGGTATATGAGCTCAGGTCGCTCAGGGCTCGTTGCTCAAATGGCCGGGCTCAATTCCGACTGCAGTCCAACAGGTACATTTAATGTATATTTTGCAGATGATCTGAACTCTACCTAGTAGCCTTTCTTAGAAATCACAATAATTTTCTTGTTTATGCATTAATTGTGTAATGTCAGTTGGTGATGAAATCAAATCCTTTGCAGAACATTCAAAACTGTATCCTTATTCAAATGCCTTTCTTTTTATTGAGTAACAAGAAAACAATGCAGTTAGAGAACTATTAGTGATGATTTGTGCCAGTTAAACATGTTTTTCTTAACTTTCCCAAGCCTGGTTCACAATGTAGACCATCGTAAACTACAAACACAAGCAATGTCATCATAAATAACAAACCAGTATGTACAGCATTGCAAACAGGATATATTATAATGTACAGAAAACAAATAAATCTTGTATCATAAAATCTTTTAATTGCAAATAAACCAATATTATACATTATTTTGTATTACCTTTTCTTCAACACAATATATACAATATAACATTATTTTCAGAACGCTTCTTAATATAAGACTCTAACATTTTTCTCTACACCTAACCAACACATTTTGTAGACCATTTTTGATGTAATATGGCTTCATTTGATTTACATGCYTGTGGATCACATGGCCACAGGATCCCTATGTTGCTTAAATGAACAGTAACAAACCAACATGATATAACACAACTTATATCTGATAACATGGTTACTAAAATTTGTAACACAAATGTACTGAAACAGTTTTTTGTCATAAATTACATTTTTAATATTTTTTTCATCTTAACTTTGTTTGAACTTATTCACCTTAAGCATCTTTGTGATTAAGGAATACAGTTGCACCAGCAACATTCAGTTATCAGCAATTATATGGTAGTAAATAGAACTAACGCAACCTGCAACTGAATGGCACCAGTAGTCTTCTGAGAGTGTATYGTACTGTTGAGAGTTTGTCATTTCCTGGGGGAGTTGGTGCAGAGAACTTAGTAATATCTAATGCTTGATAACATGAGTGACAAATGGGCCAGGAGTGAGGATGTTCACTCTTAACATGATCATCTCTGAAAATAAAAATTTACCAAGATAARAGCTTGAAATCCTAGTAATACTGAAAAAAATATCAGGTATACAAGCGTGACACATTGTTAAAACCATCTGGAAATTGAGGGTGTAAAAACCTATTTCCTTGAAACTGACTCTAAACATTTCTGTTGCCATGTCAACTTAAAAGTTTACATGTATTAAGTAAATGATCATTTGTTTCTGGTGCACAGGCAGCCCACCCTTTGCTTACTGTCATATCATACCTGAGTTGTTTGTAGTACTCAATGACTTGTTTAGGTACTACTTCAAGAGCCTCTAAGCCTTCTTTCACTCTAGATTCAATGCTTTGTTTGGGGGTTAACTCCTAAATCATTATGTACAAATAAGCAACAAATTATTGATTCTATAAAATAGCAAAGTATGCAGGTTTACATTAAAAAGAATTTCATTTACAATTGTGCAATATTGTAACACTGTGCTAGTGTGTATGGCAAACTTACACTAGATGTTGAGTGTTCTGCATCTTCGTCATCTTCAGGTTTTCTTTTCCTAATTTCTATACAATATTACACAATTTAAGTTAGAATTTGCATTAGGAATTAGCAATTTTTTATTAGTTGTACTACATACGTTGATTTGAGAGTGACAAAGCCTGTATTGGTTGTGCCCTTAACACTGAGGTTCTTTCCCAATTTTTCATGTCACGACCAGGCGATGCACAAATATTGATATTCAAAGTTTGTCTTCCAAGGACAGCATAACTATTAAAAATGAAATAGTCAATGCATACAATACAGTCAGTTTCCTACAAATTGTGAAGTTGTGTTTTACTTACTCCTTTTCTATGGTGAATACGAAAGCAAGAGGAGTTTTCTGCTTGTTGGAGATGCAATTATTTGCACATTTAAACTCAAAGTTTTCAATCTTCCCTGAGAGTAAGCTATCTATGAAATATTAAATATGCAATAAAATTTACTATAAGAAACAATGATATAAATCTTCAACAAGTATTAATAATCGTTATTAAAAAATGCTTAGTTATTACCTTCATTAATAAAATAACCCACAGGAAAGACTATTGATATGTGTCCTTCAGGGGTGATCTCGTATACAGCACTTGGATTATGACACCTCATAAAACTAACTTTGTCAACCTCATTCTCTAAAAACAAACAATAAACCTTTGTGGAAATTGTCTTGTGTCTTGATTGTGTAGTTCCAGAAAATATCCATACCCCCACCACGGAGGATTTCAGAAATTCCGAGGGGGTTGGGGGTTAAAGTAGCTTGGAAATTCCATGGGGGTGGGGGGTTAATCTGCAATCCATCTACAAAAAATTGATATGCTTAGATATGCGTTATTACCGTATTCCTGACTCGCTGGTCGCTCTTTAAATAAGTTATTTGACGTGAATTTAAATGAAGATTGTGCTTCAAACAGACAGCTTCTACACAAAATGTTTTTTTTTCTTTCGATTGAAGAAAGAAAATACAAGTGACAGCTGTCAGTAGAATGACTACCGCGCTAAAATTCACGTACCGGTTTTTACAAGTCTGCGAAACTAAAACTCAATACATGTACTTGTATTTAAAAAGAAAGAAAGGTTGATGATAGAAAAAGGCAAAAGAATCCTTCTTTATTGAATAAGTGTATAAATAAGATTCTAGATTCATTTCGTTCGTCAAAGCACGTGGTTGTTTACACTCAAGTGACGGTTCGATAATCGGCAAAGATTTATGACCACAAAGAAGCTTGAGCTTTAGGTAAAACACCAAAATCTGCTGAAAAAAATACATATTTWGGAGGRAAAGATCGATTTCGAGATCGTAAAAGAAGTGCAAATTTTTATATAAACCGTAAGGAAACTACTTCTCYGGCCGATAGTTCTTCRAGATTCTACTTAGAGTTCGCAAAGTTCATGTAGTGCTAGACTTGGTTGTTCCATCTCCGCGGCTTTCGTTTTTGTCCTCTGTTCTTCTGATACTCAAAAACATTTGATTTTTAATTGCCAGGTGTATTTAATGCGTATGTTGTATTGACGGAAATTCCGAGGGGGGTGGGGGTAATACCTGCCTTTTTATCGGAAATCCCGGAGGGGTGGGGGGTGGGGAAAGAGTTGCAAAAAATCGGTCAAAAATCGGAAATTCCGGGGGGGCCGGGGGGTCATAAATGAAATATCCTCCGTGGTGGGGGTATGGATATTTTCTGGAACTACACATTATACATTCAGTTTCGTGTGGAACATTCTATAATTTCCATACAGAAATTTATAATAATGACTTGTCTGTAATCATTTCTCTTACTAAACAAGCTAAATTTACCCTGTTGAAATTCATGAGCCATGTGTCGACTGCATCTTTGGATAGGAACAGCACTATTTCTGAGAAAACAGACGGCTCTCACATATGATCCTTGTGGAGGCATTGCTGAAAATTAGACAATAGATTGTAAGCTTACCTCTATAATGCAACAATAACTTGTACTATTAACATATGTATCCAACAATCTTATATTTGACATGTATTGGCTTGTCATGAGAGAAGCCGCAATGATGCAAAAAAGAACAAAAGTATACAAAATATGGCAAAGGATGCATGTTTTCTTCATACAATTCTAATTCCTCTCTGCTACAGCTGTTTCAATATCTCTCCTRGGCAGCTGTTTTAAGACCAAGAGGTCATGGGCTTAATTCCAGTTCAAAAGCATTTGATTTTTCTATATATTTCTATCTAACTTCACTCTGAAAAATCCCAACAATCTATCCCTTGTTGTTTAACAAACATTCTGAAATAAGCATCTTACTTTTAGTCTTGATTGTAAAAGGACATAAGCATAGTCTACGTATGAATACCACATCTAGCAACTTTGAGTACTGTCAAGAAAAAAAAAACATATTAATATAAAGGAATTACAAAATTAAAATAATTAAAACAAKGGAAGATAAACTGACTGACTGGCCAATGGGAGATGAAACTTCAGGCAAATGTGAAGAGATGAAATGAAACTGAAGTGGGAAAAGAATGTGTGGGAAATTAGATAAATGATAATTATGATCAAAGTAAATTTAAGAAGCCATGAAATCAAATCTTACCGTGTGCTTGCAATTGTTGGCAGCGAAACTATTCTGTAACATAAACAATAGCACTATCTATAACTTGAAATAATCATGCAACATATATTGTTTTTTGATAAGCAATATTATGTCAGCTGGGTGTATCTGTGCATTCTTTGCAAACATCACTGACAGACAGACATAAACTGGACCTCCGTCGTTTGGATAATGAAAGATGTTGACAATAACACCTGTGAGATAAGTTATCGATAAACTGTGCGCAAAATTCCTGTGAACTTTTTAGCAAATGCCGAACAAAAATTATTGAACAGATCCATAAAAAGTAAGCTTACCCCGAAAGTCTCGTTGCTGTAGGTGACTTGAAAGCCATAATTGTCATAATCGACCATATTTCTGTTTTGTATAAACACAACTAAGGAAAATATTGACAGATCAGCAGTAATAAAAACTTATATGCGTTCGCGAAGCTTTGAACATTCTAAGCAGATATGGATAAATATGCTACACTTAACTAGACCGTGCAATTTCAATCAATAGTGCTTTAGCAGGTAGATATATCTATGAAATATTACATTCTTCAACCGCGGCAGCTACTGCATGCCAAAAGGCTAGTACGTTCTGAAGAACACCGTGAGAGTGCCGGAATTTACGGTCATTTTGCACCAAAAATCTCTCGCACATCAATCATAGAGACACTGAGTCTAAGAAAGCTAGACTAGATGCGTAGAAATGTGGAAAACAGCTGAAATTTAGGTGAAATTCTTACCACAAAAAGACGCGCAATCTTCACACCGCACCGTTCTGCATCAACACTTTGACAGTTTTCGCACACGTGAATATGCAAATTTCACATGCAAAAACACAACTCTAGGGGAGTAGGGTGGTATATGCATTGGACAAAAAGTGAAAATGGGAGAAAAAAAATTGTAAGAATAATTGTAGTAATATTTCTGAGAGAAATATTTTTATGATGGGCTACAAAATATTTCAACCATTTGGGGGAAAATAACTCAGAAATTGTAATTTAACTGAATCCTTTATTTTGTATTTTTATTCTTTTAATCAAAATGTATTTCAATATGAATTTATGATTTAGCACATGCCAAGTGAGTTTCAATAATCAAGTCCAAATTGGACAAAACAGTTATTCAATTCATTTATTTAAAAAACATAACAGCAAACTTTAAACCACAGGCAGCCCAAGCTAAGCATTTAACTAGCAGATTATAGCGATATCTATAAATGTAAATACGAAATTTTTGAAAGAAAAAATAAGTAAAAAAAATTTGTCTTACCTTATGATGTGGTCTTAGTTATGAATTTAGTCGTAATTTTGCCGTTTTTCTTTGATATCTCCCGGCCTTTACTTATATCACTGAAAGGCAGGACAGACCGGCTCGAAAAAATTCAAACTCATTCCTTTATTAGCTAGTTATACTACTTACTCGTTTCCAGTTTTCTAGCTCAAAACTGTATTGAAAAAACGATTGAACTATCAGAAGATTCCGTTAAATTTTGTCATCTTTAGACCTCCATTTTCTCGAAAAGTGGAATCTGCGACTAACAAAAAAAACGGAAAATGCGTAGTGCAACTTTGAAAAACGATGAATTAAATAAATGGCAACAAACTCATTCGGACAAAAGCCCACGAGACAAGTGTTGTATTGGTGTCCTTAAAAAAACATTACTTCCCCCAATGAACCATTAGGCTTTGCAGCTTTTAATGTCATGTAATGTATCAAAACTGCAATAATACCTACAACACCTCCAAAGCTGAAACATAACTGTAGATTATTCTGTGATACGCCAAAAATGTCATTATCAATTGAGTRATCAAACTGCATCTTTTTAATCTTGCGTACTTTGAGTATTATTATAGTAGTATGAAACATGTATATAATTATTTTATGACAAAAGTGGGTCATTTGTCTTAAGTGATCTAATTACTAGGCGATAGTCCACGTTTATTACCAAAATTTCACCAGAACCCCGTCCGGATACATCGATCATCTATTTAAGAATTCTTTAAAAAACATATMTTTCTCCTTGTCACTTCTTGCACAAATAAGGAAAGGTTTCCCCGTAAACAGACAACAGCTTGGCAATTTCACTTGCAAAGGCAACATAATCCTTCAGTATTGCTGCCTTGCAACGTTTTGCTTTTTCTACGAAGCAACGTTCCTCGACCTCGCAGGCTTTGCAGAAGTCTTTTTTCTTGGCGTCTTTCAGGCAATGTGTACGGCAATCTTTGTATGCTTCCTTGGCACAGGCATCAGGATGAGAATTTTCTAAGAAATGGTAAAGAAACGAGAAGGATTCGAGGAATTTATCAATATATAAAGAGGTCGTCTTCACTTTGATTTATTTTATATCGGCGGCTTACCAAGCGATGGAAACTTCCTCAATAATGGAACTTGCACCAATATAAAAATAAAAAAAAATGACAAAAATCGTTTAAAAAAGGTTATCTTTTCTCGCAAGTAATCGAAATACATGTGATTTTACTTACAATGTGGCGATTGCTTCACCAGCTTTTTCAAAGTACCGAGAGGGGGCGGGTGGGGTGTTTTAGGGCATACTGTGGGCGATAACCAATGATCAAGCCAGTAATACTGAAGAACCCAAAATCTGTGGAAGGTGATAATCTTTCCCATGCAGTTTGGAGCTTTAATCATTGCTTCGACAATAGACTAATAAATCAAAAAGAAAAAAATATATTATACAAAAAAAAAGCAACAAACAAACCAAAGAACGATTTGGGTGATACAAAAATCACGACATTACCTTCATTTCCTTACACAAATCCCACTTGCCGATTTCGTGCTCGTAATCATTTATGAGGCCATAGGAAAATTTACTTTCGCATTTCTGAATCTTTGCATAGACTCCCACTGCCGTCACAAGAACCAAACAATTCTTTATCATAAAMATCTAAAAACAGATCAACTGATTGAAACCAAGATAGATGAAGTATTATGGAAACCAATGAAAGAAAAATAATCGATTTCTGTTT